AATAGGATTCAGTGGCTTTGTAGACTGGTGTTTGATCCTTGGCAAGACTATAGATGATGTGTGTTCTTCCATTGTCTCTTTTTTTTAATGATGGTAACACAACCACTGTTTAATGGTTATAACTCTTAATTTCTTGTGAGTTGCAGTTAGTGTTATTCTAACTACTGGCACTATTTTTATATAAAGACACTTTCCCTCTTTTACTATTTATTTACCTGCAGGTACAGTTCCTATAAGAAAGCAGGATAACTGCTTGACCCCTTTCCTTTTGTTGTAAGTGCTATCATGGAGTTTTGGTTTTGCTGTGTAGTTGTTCTCTTTTTATATGGGGATTTGGAGAGTTTGAAAACTATACTGCTATTGCTGTTTTCCAAGAGTCCCCTATAACTGGTGTGTGTGTGTGTGTGTGTGTGTGTGTGTGTGTGTGTGTTATAGTCTATTTGAAATAAATTTATATGTCTTATAAAATCTGTAGATTCCCCTTCTGTATCTATCCTCTCCCCTAACTCCCCTTCTCTCTCCCTCCCTCCCTCTTTTTTTCCCTTACAGATTTTTAATTGAAGAAATCACTTTATGTATCCTAAAGAGAAAGCCTAAAGAGTTTGCTTACTGGGGCACCTGGGTGGCTCAGTTGGTTAAACATCTGACTCTTGGTTTCGGTTGAGGTCATTATCTCACGGTTCCTGAGATGAGCCCCTCACGTCAGACTCCATGCTAAACAGATTGGGATTCTCTCTCCCTCCTTCTCTGCCCTATTTCCTGCTCACACTCATGTGTACTCTCTCTCTCTCTCTCAAAATAAATACACTTACAAAAAAAAAGTTTGCTTATTGCATCCCTGTAGTGTAATTTAACATGTTCTTCTGTCCTTGGTATTACCTTTAAAGTGGCAGTTGGATCTGAAGTCTTTATCAGATTCCAGGTTCACAATAAAGTTATATATTAAGAACAAACACTGGATAGAACAGCTCAAAGGAGAGCAAATACAGAAACAGAAGCACTGGAGTGAAAAAACTCAAGTTTAAAAGTTGACTTTGGCAAATAGGCAAATCCATAGCAACAGAGAGTAGAATAGTAAGGGCTAGGGAGTGAGGTATGACTGTCAGTGGGTACAGCATTTCTTTTTAGGGTGAAGAAATTAGATTGTGGTGATGGTTTCATAATTCTTAAAAACCACTGAATTGTATACTTTAAAAAATGGAATTTATAGTATGTCAATTATATTTCAATAAAGCTGTTATCTTTAAAAAAGGAGCTTAGATTTAAAAACAAAGAGGAATACCTAATCCTTTGAGACTGATAGGAAGAAGGTTGGCATGGTACACATGCTGATAAGTTTGTAAGTGACCTATCCTATAAGCTCACTTACAAAGTGAGACTTACATATTTAACTATCTATTGAATATATTGATTGGGAAATTCTCTTGACATGTCAGACTCTGTATCATTGCTGACCAATAGAAATGTGATTTTTTTTTTAATGTTTACTATTTTTGAGAGAGAGACAGAGCACTAGCAGGGGAGAGACAGAGAGAAACACACACAGAATCCGCAGCAGGTCCCAGGCTCTGAGCTGCTAGCACAGAAGAGCCTGATGCAGGACTTGAACTCATGAACTGTGAGATCATGACCTTAGTGAAAGTCGGACGCTTAACCAGCTGAGCCACTCAGGTGCCCCACAATAGAAATGTAATAGGAGCCACATGTGACTTTTAATTTTATAATAATTAAAAAAATAAAAAATATGACATTAATTTTTTAAAGATTTTATTTATTTATTTTTAGTGTCTGGATAATTTTTTTTTTAATCCAAGTTAGTTAATATATAGGGTAATAATGATCTCAGGACAAGATTTTATTTTTAATCTCTACACCCAACATAGGGCTTGAATTCACAAACCCAAGATCAAAACCTGCGTGCTCTACCAACTGAGCCAGCCAGGCACCCCTGAAGTTAATTTTTATATCTCTTATTTAATCCAGTGTATCTAAAATATTATATTTCAGGGGCACCTGGATGGCTCAGTCAGTTAAGTGTCTGATTCTTGATTTTGGCGCAGGCTATGATCTCATGATTCATGAGTTTGAGCCCCATGTCAGGCTCTGTGCTGACCGTCAAGAGCCTATTAGGACATTCTCTCTCTCTCTCTCTCTCTCCCCCTCTCCCTCCCTCCCCCGCTCACCCACAATCTCTCTCTCTCTCAAAATAAACCTTAAAAAACAAATAAAATATATTTCAACATGTAATTAATGTAAAGGTTACTCATATTTTACATTGATTTCTCATACAAGCTTTGAAACTCAGTGTGTATTTGATACTTAAAACATATCTCAATTCAGACTTCCCAGATTTCAAGTGCTCAGTAGCTGCATGTGAGTATACCTAGGTATTGGACTGTGCAGATGAGCAGGTTTAAAATGGAACTCATGAACTTGTTCATGTCTCCTTGATCTCAGTAAATGATGCCTCTTCCTGAGGGTCATTCTCTTATTTCCCTCTTTCTCACCGTTCACATCAGTCACTTCCTTGTACTGATTTTTATCTTTAAAATTTATGCAAAGCCGTCTCTTCTTATCCAACCCTACCAGTTGCCCCAGTTTCAGGACTTGATATTTCTTGCCTGGCTTGCCTCTCACCTGTTCTTCCTGTCTCTGCTCTTGCCCCTCGTAAGTGCATCTTCTACTTTGCAGCCAGAATCTCTGCCTAACTAAAAATCTCACTGTGTCATTCCCCCACTTAACACCTTTAATGTCTTCCCAGTATTTCAGCAGTAGTCTGACCACAGTGAATGGCCACGTGATTCTTTGGGAATTTGGGAAAAAGAAAGTAGATATCCTTACTTCATTCTTTTAAAAAATACATTTAGTCTATTTCTTAAGGTATGTAACACAGAACATGTAAATAATTTATAAGTGAATATAATTATACTAGTGGAACATGATCAAGTGCATGTTTATCTTTGTGGTGATGCTGCTGGTGCTGGTGCTGGTGTTAAGAACACTTAACATGAGATTTACCACTAACAAATTTGTAAGCGTACATTATCATTGACTACCGACACTAGGTTGTGTCAGCAGATCTCTAGAACGTGCTCATTTTGCGTAAATGAAACTTTATACCTGTTGAGCAATTCCCTATTTCCCCTTTCCTTCCAGCAAGCACCATTCTGCTCTTTGCCTCTATGTGTTTGACTGTGTGGGACACCTTATACAAGTGGAATCATGCATTATTTGTCCTTCTGTGACTGGCTTAGCATAATGTCCTCCAGGCTCATCCTTGTTTACTGCATATGGCAGGCTTTCATTCTCTTTTGAGGCCAAATAATATTCCACTGTATGTATAAACCATATTTTTAAATCCATTTATCTACCTATGGACATTGAGGTTGGTTCCATATCTTGGCTATTGCGAATCATGCTACAGTGAATAGGAGAGTGCAAATGCCTCCTTGAGATCCTGATTTCAATTCTTTTGGATATATACCCAGAAGTGGGATTTCTGGATCATATGGAAATTCTATTTTAAATATTTTGAGGAACCTTCATACTTTTTTCATAGCAACTGTACCATTTTCCATTTGTAAAAGGGTGCTAATTTCTCCATATTCTCACCAACACCTACCTTTTGTTTCTGTCAATTTTTAAAAATAGCCATCCTAACAGGTGTGAGATAATACTTCATTGTGGTTTTGATTTACAGCTTTCTGATGATTAGCAATGTTGAGCACCTTTTCATATAGCTGTTGGCCATTTGTGTGTTTTCTTCAGAGAAGTTTCTATTCATGTCTTTTGCCCATTTTTTAATTTGGATGTGTGGGTTTTTTTGTTAATGAATTGTTGGAATTTTTTAGATATTTTGGATATTGACCCCCTATCAGATAAAGGGTTTGTAAATATTTTCTCCCATTCCGTACGTTGCCTTTTCATTTTGTTTATTGTTTTCATTTGGCTTTTACCCCAGCAAGTCTTCCTCCTCTAGGTTAGATGAGGTGTCCCTCTTCCTAATTCCCATGAACATTGTAAGTAACTGACGTGGCACTTACCTTACTATATTGGAATTCTCTGTCCTTTTAGGTCTGTTTTGTCTTTCTCCCGTCTGCCAAGACTCAGTACTGAGAGAAAAGATTTTGCCTCAATTGTCGTTTGTGTGCTCTAGTCCTTATTCCAGTTCTTGGCATATAGTTGGCACTCAGAAATTAGTAGAATTAAATTGAACCCCTGAAAATGTTAGTAAGTTATCAAAGTTTGGGCCTAGGCATTAACCAAACTTAAAGTAATTGAAGACTTAGATCTGTTATTAATAGTATGACCTCTGTTTGAAAATTTAGTAGATAAATGAAACTGATGAAAGTGGTACTTTTAATTTTAGGTGAAAAAAAACTGTAGCATACATAGAATACCAAAAGGTAAGCATGTAAACTCTACTAGGCTAGGCAGTGTTTTTGTCTGTTCCTTTCATGGATTTATTCCTAGTGTGTAGAACAGTACCTGGCACATAATAGTAAGTTACTGGTCAGTAAATACTTGTTGATAAATGAATGATGTGTGTAGAAAAGCACTCTAACTTCATACTTTATTAAGCTTGTAAGGCAAAAGCATTATAAGTTTATATATAACATTGTAAGTTCAAAAACGTTTCTTCATTTCTAACTCAGTTTAAAATTTACCACTTGAGGGGTACCTGAGTGGCTCAGTTGGTTAAACGTCCGACTTCGGCTCAGGTCATGACCTCGCAGTTCACAAGTTCAAGCCTCACATCGGGCTCTATGCTGACAGTTCAGAGCCTGGAGCCTGCTTTGGTTCTGTGTCTCTTTCTGTCCCTGCCCCTCCCCAATTCACGTTGTGTCTTTCTTTCTCAAAAATAAATAAATAAACAAAAAAAATTTTTTTTAATTCTTTAAAATTTACCACTTGAAACAAACATCAAATTACTATATTCTCACATTACTTTATATTTTTGTAAAGGAAGTCTGGTGTATAAATATATTTTTCTCTTTTAGTAAACGAAGCAAAAAAGGAGATAAAAATGGAAAAGGCCTGAGACATTTTTCCATGAAAGTGTGTGAGAAAGTTCAGCGGAAAGGTACAACATCATATAATGAAGTGGCTGATGAGCTGGTATCAGAGTTCACCAATTCAAATAACCATTTGGCAGCTGATTCGGTAGGTAGATCATTCCCTTGACGTTGATGTGATGAGTGATGGAACAGTGTATCTCTGGGGTGACTATGTCCTTGATTTAAGGACTCGGACAAGCTAGGGAATCCCCAACTCCTTTACTTGAGGGTTTCATATTGTCTTCTGGGGAGTTCTTTTGTTGTTGACTTTTTGTTTGTTTTGTTTTAGAAAGGATTCTTTTATTATATACTTAAACATGAAGATGAACATGTATTTTTAAAACGTAGTTTTGGGGGTTACAAAAGAAACGTTTATATTTGAATGACTTTGGAGATGTTTCTGAGTCCTTTGGTGTTTCTTTGTGTCCAAGTCAATTAGAAAATTTTGTCTTGTTTTTAATTGAAAAAATAATACATGAACATGTCTATTAAAAACTCAGTTGTGGGCACTTGGGTGGCTCAGTAAGTTAAGGTTCCAACTTCGGCTCAGGTCATGATCTCACGGTTTGTGAGTTCCAGCTCCACATCGGGATCTGTGCTGACAGCTCAGAGCCTGGTGCCTGATTCAGATTCTCTGTCTCCCTCTCTTTCTACACTCCCCCACTCACACTCTGTCTCTCTCAAAAAGAAATAAGCATTAAAAAAAGTTCTTTCTCTCTTAGATTCAGTTTGGTGTTTTATATATTCTTAGGAAATCTTCCATTTCATTCGTGTTCTCAAAATTATTTGCAGGGGCACCTGGGTGGCTCAGTCAGTTAAGCTTCTGACTTCACCTCAGGTCATGATCTTGAGGTTTGTGAGTTCAGTTGTGTCTCCCTCTCTCTCTCTCCCCCTCCCTGGTTCATGCTGTGTCTCACTCTCTCAAAAGTAAGTAAACAGTAATTTAAAAAAAATTTTTTTTAATTATTTGCAGTTATTTTTCCCAACAAACTATCTCTTGAATTTGTACTGACCCTCCTGTTTTGCAGTTAATTTCTTTTTTATAATCTTCATTTAATATTCTCTTCTTTTTCCTGAAGTTACTTTTGTTACTGTTCTACCCTGTAGACTCTGATGTATACTTTATTTACTTTTATTATTTTTGTTTAGTAATGAAAATCTTTATGGCTGTGACTTTTCCTCTTGTGCGCTGCTTTAGCCATATCCCATTGATTCTGATATAATGTTATACTTTAGATATTCTGCAACTTTGGTTTTAATTTCCTCTCTGACCTAAGAATGGCATTAGAATTTTTATAGTTCCAGGTGATAGGGAATTTTGTTTGTTTGTCTGAATTTTCACTTTTATTACCTGTGTTCAGAGACTGTGAGTGGAACTGTTTATATTTTTTGGATCACTTTGAGATTTTTCTTGTGAGCCATTAGATGTTTCTTTTCTCTGGCATCTGTAGAGAAGATATATGGCATTCTGATTCTGAGTGAAAGTGAAAGTTCTCAAAATGTTCTACAAGACCCTATGTGACCTGGCCCACCATTACCTCTCTGATCTCATCTGCTACTATGCACTGTCTCAGTTACTACACTATAGCATACGTAACATTTCTTTCATTTTTCTACAAACTTTTTTTTTTTAACATTCATTTTTGAGAGAGAGAGAGACAGAGCATAAGCGGGGGAGGAGCAGAGAGAGAGGGAGACACAGAATCTGAAGCAGGCTCCAGGCTCTGAGCTGTCACCACAGGGTCCGACGTGAGGCTTGAACTCACAGACTGCAAGATCATGACCTGAACTGAAGTCAAAGTCTTAACCGACTGAGCCACCCAGGCGCCCCTCTTTCATTTTTCTTAATTAAAACAAATCCGAAATGGATATTGAATTCAATCAAATTCTGTATAATTTCCTGAAAATTTAGGAGTTTTACACTGGTCATGAATGAGATTGGTGGGTTTTTTCTTTTTTGTTTTGGGGTGACTATGCCAGATGTGCTCCTTATCAGACTATTACACTTGCTATTTCTTTTGTCTGAATCTCTTTGCTAAGGAACCATATGGTTTTTCTCCTCCAGTTTTCACTCAGATGTCACTGTACTGAGGCATTTTTTCTTAGCATGTTTCATCATCCAACATACATTTTTACTAACCATCCCTATCCCCACCCCTGAATAGAAGCAAGGGTTGGGTTTTTTTCTCTTCCCTTCTGCGTTTTTTTTTTTGATAATTTGGAAGATTTGTAGTCTTTAGTTCTTTAGTTGATTATCTTTATGACTTTAAGTAACTTCAATATTTTATTTCTTTTGTTTGTTATCACCTGTACCAGTATGTTGATTATAGAGAGGAAAAGTTAATATATTTATATGTACTATATCTCCTATTTTTCCTCTCTACCACAGGATTCAGATTGACTATATTCGTGATAATTGTTGAAAGAATAATATTATTATGGTTGTTATTATGACTTTAAATGAATATATTGTGCCAAACCTCTATTATTACTTAGTTCATCTGTCTGAATAGTTCATCTGTGTTGAATCCCAAACCCTTTAAAATATCAAGGAGAACATAAGCAGACTTAATTTGTTGCCTCTTCCTCATATTTTTTACTATATTATTGTTATTAATTTTTTTTTAATGTTTATTTATTTTTGAGACAGGGAGAGACAGAGCATGAACAGGGGAGGGTCAGAGAGAGAGGGAGACACAGAATCTGAAACAGGCTCCAGGCTCTGAGCTGTCAGCACAGAGCCCGATGCAGGGCTTGAACTCACGGACCGCGAGATCATGACCTGAGCTGAAGCCGGATGCCTAACAGACTGAGCCACCCAGGCGCCCCAATATTATTGTTATTTCTAAAGTGTCAGAATTTCAGGGTTTTTTTAAGTTTATTTATTTATTTTGAGAGAGAGAGAGAGAGAGAGTGCGCGCACAAGCTGGGAAGGGGCAGAGAGAGAGACAGATTTCCGAGCTGGCTATACGCTGTCAGCACAGAGCCCAACATGGGGCTCAAACTCACGGTCCATGAGCTGAAATCTCATGACCTGAGCTGAAATCGAGAGTCAAATGCTTAAGTGACTGAGCCACCCAGGTGCCCCTACAGTGTCAGGAATTCTAATATTTACGCTCAGTTCTATAACTTTAATCTCCTATTTATATAAGTTTAGTTCTGTACTTAAATGGATTCAGTGTACTCCAGCATCCTTTATTATCATGGCATTTGATTGATTGGATTTTGTTCTTAGGAACTGCTTGTCCACAATAAAATGAACTTTTTCCACAATCTAAGTTGAAACAGTCTCTTTCACTGAGAAAATCTTGCTGCCATTAAAAACAAAACAAAACAAAACAAAAAATCAGCTGAAGTAAACTGTGTTTTAGTGCTCTATGTAATGATGTTCTGTGCAAGTTCCCTGTTTTCATTGTAGACTAGTAACAGTTTGCAGATCAGTACTAGTCCTTGGACCACATACTTGAAAGCACTGTTCACCTAGAGCTTGAAACATGCATTCTTTTCAGAGTCTAATATCCTGCCAGACAATGCAGGGTTTCAGCCCACTTTAACATTACCCCTCTGATATACATACTGTTGTCATGTATGTTAGTTCTATATATATTCTTGATTCCACAAGACGTATTGTTTTATACAATGAGGTTAATTGAGATATACCCACAGATTTACCTTTCAAGTGGTCTTCATTCCACATACTGTGTCTCCAAACTCCCATCTTAGATCCTATCCGTCTTTATTCTGCTTAAAGAAGGCCCTTTAGTGTTTCTTAATTTTGATCTGTGGGTGTCATAATCTTTATTTTTGAGATTGTTTTATGTTTTAGATTGTTAGGAAGTATCTTTATCTCTTCTTTACTTTTGAAGGGTATTTCACTGGCTATGGAATTCTTTAAGCACTCTAAAGGTACAATAATAATAATATTAGTTAAATATCTTAATATCCTGTGACTATATCTTAACCCTTGAAGTTTATCACTCATTAAAAATTATTTTTTAGCAGGCCTATGACCAGAAGAATATTAGGAGAAGAGTTTATGATGCTTTAAATGTGCTAATGGCAATGAACATAATTTCAAAGGAAAAAAAAGAAATCAAGTGGATTGGCCTGCCTACCAATTCTGCTCAGGAATGTCAAAATCTTGAGGTAAGTGAGCAAAATCTGTTTATAGATAGTAGTTTGCTTTATTTTACATAAGAGGCATTTTAATTTAGAAATACATATAATATTAAAATATTTCTAATTGTACATGTATACTATGCCTTTTTTTTCCTTTTTTTTTTTAAGCAGACTCTTCTGTGTAGGATTTTAGAACTAGAAGGAGATTTAGAAAGATGTATAGTTTGACTGAATTCCTGATGAAACTGAGGGACATAGAAATTAAATGACTTGATTTTTACTGTTTCTTAGAGAAGATACTTACTTTATTATAGTTTAATTCTGAGCACTCTATACAATAGATTTTTGATAATTCATGAATAGAAATAATATTTGATGAAATGCTTGCTGTATAGATCCCCCCCCCCAAAAAAAATAAATAGGATCAAACTGGCTGTTCACTTCTTGTGTTTAAACTTTTATCTTTGATGCATAGGGGCACTTGTACCCCACTGTTTATAGCAGCACTCTCAACAATAACCAAATTATGGAAAGAGCCTAAATGTCCATCAACTGATGAATGGATAAAGAAATTGTGGTTTATGTACACAATGGAGTACTATGTGGCAATGAGAAAGAATGAAATATGGCCCTTTGTAGCAACGTAGACAGAACTGGAGAGTGTTATGCTAAGTGAAATAAGCCATACAGAGAAAGACAGATACCATATGTTTTCACTCTTATGTGGATCCTGAGAAACTTAACAGGAACCCATGGGGGAGGGGAAGGAAAAAAAAAAGAGAGAGGTTAGAGTGGGAGAGAGCCAAAGCATAAGAGACTCTTAAAAAATGAGAGCAAACTGAGGGCTGATGGGGGGTGGGAGGGAGGGGAGGGTGGGTGATGAGTATTGAAGAGGGCACCTTTTGGGATGAGCACTGGGTGTTGTATGGAAACCAGTTTGACAATAAATTTCATACATTTAAAAAAAAAAAAAAGTAAGAAAAAGAAATAAATAAATAAACTTTTATCTTTGACCCTAGAATCCGTAACAACCAGATGGTATTTCATTGGTATCTTTATCACAAAGGATACAGTGTTCAGCTTGCATGAATTTTGGGATAATGTTTGCAGAAACATTTTTATTCCATTAACTTTAATCATTATAGAAAATCTGTCCTATATGAGCATGTGCCCCAACCTACTGATTTTAAATTGGTTTGACATAATTGTACTATCATGGCCATAAATTGAGGTTACCTATAGTTTCTGGAGATAAATATGGTCAGTTTCATGTTTTTCTCCATCCCTTTTTCCCCTCAGCAAATCAAAACTTATTTGGTATTATTATACTTGTAGATGGAGAAATTAGACATTCATCAAAAGTTATGGGATGTTATACATACACTACAGTGGAAATGATCTCTCTTTCTCTTTCTCATGCAGTGGAATTTGAGATCATTTTTATTGCCAGTAATATTAAGCTGATAACAAAGACTCAATAAGCAAAAATCTTTTAGCAGTTCCTGCATGTTTACCCAAAGATTATATGAGACAAAAATCTCTGACCCCAGGAGCTTTCATTCTGATAAAAGGAAAAATAGTCAAAAGGAGTTACCAAAACTGATTGATTACTCCTGTGAAAGACATATGTACAGATGCTCTGGAAAGGGAGATAATGGAGGGCTTTTCGAAGGAAAGAAGAAAATCGCTGAGCTCATTTATGAGGGAGATGTAGGTGTTTGCCCAGAGGCTTAGGGCAGGGAGGGCCTTCCAGAGGCCCCGCATGGGCTGTTCACAGCTGGGTGTGAGCAGAGTGCAGGCAGGGCTAAAGGGGGTAGCTTTCTAAGCGCGAGGCTTTGGGACTTGATCCTGTAAGCAGTGGAAAGAATTATAAAGAGGGCTGATAGGACACATTCTAAGGCATCACCCTGCTGGTGGGTTGAACTGATGGAAGTTGAACTGATGGAAGATGAGGAGGGAAATTAGGGATGGATTGGAGATGTTTTGAGTCAAGTCAGTGGCCTGAAGTTGGAGAAATGTTTTAGAGGTAGAATCGATACATCTTAGCCTGGTGTTAGATGGGGGTCATGAGAGGCAGGTAGTGGCTTGGCCTGGCCTGGCCCAGCTGTAGATACAGATACAAAGTCCTACAACATCTTTTCAGATATGGAAAGCCACACAGATTTTCGAGTGAATGTTAAGTAATTTAGGATGAAAGTGGTATAGTGGTTAGAGGATGAGAGGATGCTCCCGGTGCATACTAGAGTAGATACAGAACAAATCAGAAACATGCTTGTCATTTAAAAAAAGAGGAGGTGGGGAGCATCTGGGTGGCCCAGTCAATTGAGCACCCAACTTTGGCTCAGGACAAGACCTCACATTTTGGGAGTTTGAGCCCTGTGTCGGGCTCTCTGCTGTCAGCTCAGAGCCCACTTCAGATCCTTTCTCTCTCCCTCTCTCTCTCTCTCTCTGCCCCTCCCCCATTCATTTTTTTTCTCTCTCACAAAAATAATTTTTTTTTTTTTTTTTTTTTTAAAAGGAAACATAAGGGGCGCCTGGGTGGCGCAGTCGGTTAAGCGTCCGACTTCAGCCAGGTCACGATCTTGCGGTCCGTGAGTTCGAGCCCCGCGTTGGGCTCTGGGCTGATGGCTCAGAGCCTGGAGCCTGTTTCCGATTCTGTGTCTCCCTCTCTCTCTGCCCCTCCCCCGTTCATGCTCTGTCTCTCTCTGTCCCAAAAATAAATAAACGTTGAAAAAAAAAAATTTTTTTTTAAAAGGAAACATGGTTGGAGTAGACAAGAAAAATGTTGTATTTGATGTCATTGACTTTTGCCCAAAGACACAGTGAGGAAGTCATCTGAGAGAAAATTCAGAAAGAGTGAGGAAAATAATGGTTGTGTGAAGCTGGGAAATTTGCCCCATAAGCACGTTCCTTACTACAGGTTTGAATCGTGTATTGAGTATGCAGGCTAACTGTATTAGGAGCTATGCCCACTTAAAAGTCAGTTAAACTGCGATCTTAAATGAGATCTTCCCTGATTCTTTACGTGAGGGGCTAATGTAGCAAAGTAATTAATAATAGAGTCTCTGGAACCAGGTGGCTTAGGTTCAAATCCTGCCTCTTGCCACTTAGTAACTACGTGACCTTTGGCAGTTCCTTAACCCTCGACACCTCTGTTTCTTTACATGCAAAACGCAGTACTTCTTCATAGGGTTTTGTGAAGATGAATTAAGATAATGTGTGTAAAGTGCTTGGTTGAGTTGCTGGCACCTAGAGTAAGTATTCACTAAATGTTAGCTATTACTCTGATTAGAACTTGAGTAACAATAGCAACAAGTACTGCATGCCAAGTATTCGTTAAGTGGATGGATGTCATTATAGATAATAGTTGCCACAATTCTGCTATCATGCCTACTTGCTTACCCTAACCCTAACCCTGCTCCTCAGTAATGATATTGGTAGTTAAAATGGATGGAGGTTGAAGGAAAGTTCTTGATAACTCAGATAACTGAAAGGTAGGCAGTACTTTATACTCCACATATGCTTATGTTCTTTCATAACCCATGTTTTAAAGATCGAGAAGCAGAGGCGGATAGAACGGATAAAGCAGAAGCGGGCCCAGCTGCAAGAACTTCTCCTGCAGGTAAAGATGTCGGGATAGTTTTCATTCTCTTGCCTGCCTGTATTCTGCTGCTCTGCTTACTTGCTTTTAGAGTCAGTGTATAATACTTTGGGTGCCTGGAGTAGTGCCTGATGGGACCACATTAGGGCAACCCCTCCACATCTGAGCTCACCACTGTCTCCATGGTCTAGCTTTACGAAGGTTCCACCTCTCACCATCATCATGGCTCCCTGGCAGCTCACTTGCCCTGTGTGTGACTTATATATGCAACGGTTTACTTTTGATACTTATTCTTACTCTGAACAGAAACCATATCAGGAGTCCTTTCCTGTGTGTTTATTATGTTAGCCCTGATTTGGAATGTCAAGAAGTAAGACTGCTTACACTTCAGGCTCTTTGAGTAAAATAATCAAATCCACCTGTCATACTTATTATCTGTAAATAATAGAATAACATATAATGATTCAGTAAGCTTCGTAGAAATACCAAAAGCTAAAATGCCTTTCTTTTAAGAAAGTTAATTTTTATAGTGTAATAAGGATCCCTATATTTATAGTGTTTTGGATAATTGCCTGGAATTTGAAGTTTTTTTCAATATAATAGAGCCAATGTATAAAGTCATGTGAAGTAGAATCACATGTAATTTTTTTAAAATTTATTTTTGGTAATTGCATTTGCTACGAAAATTCACTTTGAGTAGTACACTGGGGTCATTTTCAGTGCAATCACAAACCCTTTTTAAAATGAGCCAGAGGGTCTTTATGCTTTTTTTTTTTATCAGCAAATTGTCTATATATGAAGAGTTTTCAACCACTCATAAAATCCACTTTGATTTGACAAAAGTTAGATCCTATTTAATTTTTGATGTAATCCACTTTTCAGAAATAAAGGTAACAAGTTACCAAATATCGTAGCAGGTTTTTTTTCTTTCTTTCTTTTTTTGCAGGTTTTTTTTCTAAAGCACTCCCTTTGTCTAATGGACACAATATGGTTAGGTATTTTTAAATATTCCACATTTTTGTTTTTTACTTTCTAGATGCTAATATTTGTTCATTTGTTTCACGTTCATGATACACGAGAGCAGCAAGAGAAGACCGTTGAGCCCTTGCAGGGGCCTATGTATAATTTGAGAAGGAAATAGGAAAGGAAGTAGGGCCGGGAGAGGAATAGCCCCAGACAGAGCAGAGATTGCCCAAACACAGCAAGCCCCGGAGGTGATGTTTCCACCCTGATTAGACCATTTCTTTCTTCCTTATTGTTCCGTGTCTGCTTTTCACACTGAACCCCATTGGACCTACCTAAGGAGCTAGTGCTGGAGCAAGCATTTTATGTATTTTTCATACAGGATTTCCAATAAGGTTATATTTGAAGAGTGTATTCTGGGAGCGCCTGGGTGGCTCAGTCAGTTAAGTGCCCGATATCACTCAGGTCAGAATCTCATAGTTCGTGAGTTCGAGCCCTGCATCACGCTCTGTGCTGACAGACAGCTCACAGCCTGGAGCCTGCTTCAGATTCTGTCTCCCTCTCTCTCCGCCCCTCCCCCGCTCACACTGTCTCTCTCTCAAAAATAAACATTAAAAAAAAATTTGAGGCTTCTGGGAAGATGGCAGCGTAGGAGGACGCTGAGCTCACCGTGTCCTGTGGATCACTTAGATTCCACCCACACCTGCCTAAATAACCCAGAAAATTGCCAGAAGACTAGCAGAATGGATTCACCGGAGGCAAGCGTAGACGAGAGGTCCACGGAAGAGGGTAGGAAGGGCGGAGAGGCGGTGCATACTCCACGGACTGGCGGGAGGGAGCCAGGGCAGAAGGGCAGCCCGCCGGCAAAGCAGAGCCCCCGAGTCTGGCTTGCAAAAGCGGAGGGGCCGGATGGAGTGTGCAGCAAGCAGGACTTAACATCTGGAAGGTTATAAGTTAACAGCTCTGCTCGGAGAATGGAAGGGCTGAAGGACAACGGGAGGGAGAGTTGTTGAGCCCCGGACGACAAAGTGCAGCTTGGCGGGGAACCAAGGTGCTCGCCAGCGCCATCTCCCTCGCCCATCCCCCAGCCAAAATCCCAAAGGGAACCAGTTCCTGCCAGGGAACTTGCTTGCACTGGGCAAACACCGAACACAGAAGCTGTGCTTCTGCGGATCCATCCCTCCGGCAGCGGGTCTGACTCCCTCCCGGTGCCCCAGGGCCCCTCCCGAAGTGGATCACCGAAGGAAAAGCGAGCTGAGCCTGCCCCTCCCACCCCTGTGCACCTTGCCAATCCACCCCAGCTAATACGCCAGATCCCCAGCACCACAAACCCGGCAGTGTGCAAGTAGCCCAGACGGGCCATGCCACCCCACAGTGAATCCCGCCCCTAGGAGAGGGGAAGAGAAGGTACACACCAGTCTGACTGTGGCCCCGCCCACCAACACAAGTTATTCAAGACAGCACAGGGGAAGTGCCCCGCAGTCCCGCACCACTCCAGGGACTATTCAAAATGACAAAACGGAAGAATTCCCATCAAAAAAAGTCCTGGAAATAACGACAGCTAATGAACTGATCAAAAATGATGTAAACAATATAACAGAAAGTGGATTTAGAATAATAGTCATAAAATTAATCGCTGGGCTTGAAAACAGTATAAAGGACAGCAGAGAATCTATTGCTACAGAGATCAAGGGACTAAGGAACAGCCAGGAGGAGCTAAAAAATACTATTAATGATCTGCAAAATAAAATGGAGACAACCACGGCTCGGATTGAAGAGGCAGAGGAGAGAATAGGTGAACTAGAAGATAAAATTATGGAAAAAGAAGAAGCTGAGAAAAAGAGAGATAAAAAAATCCAGGAGTATGAGGGGAAAATTAGAGAATTAAGTGATGCACTAAAGAGAAATAATCTATGCATAATGGTATTCCAGAGGAGGAAGAGAGAGGGAAAGGTGCTGAAAGTGTACTTGAAGAAATAATAGCTGAGAACTTCCCTGATCTGGGGAAGGAAAAAGGCATTCAAATCCAAGAAGCACAGAGAACTCCCTTCAGATGTAACTTGAATCGATCTTCTGCACGACAATATCATAATGAAACTGGCAAAATACAAGGATAAAGAGAAAATTCTGAAAGCAGCTAGGGATAAACGTGCTCTAACATATAAAGGGAGATCTATAAGACTCGTCTACTGACATTTGTCAGGCCAGAAAGGAATGGCAGGAAATCTTCCACGTGATGAACAGAAAAAATATGCAGCCGAGAATCCTTTATCCAGCAAGTCTGTCATTTAGAATAGAAGGAGAGATAAAGGTCTTCCCAAACAAACAAAAACTGAAGGAATTCGTCACCACTAAACCCAGCCCTACAAGAGATCCTAATGGGGATCCTGTGAGACAAAGTACCAGAGACATCGCTACAAACATGAAACCTACGGACATCACAGTGACTCTAAACCCATATCTTTCTATAATAACACTGAATGTAAATGGACTAAATGCGCCAACCAAAAGACATAAGGTATCAGAATGGATAAAAAAACAAGACCCATCTATTTGCTGTCTATAAGAGACTCATTTTAGACCTGAGGACACCTTCAGATTGAGAGTGAGGGGATGGAGAACTATTTATCATGCCACTGGAAGTCAAAAGAAAGCTGGAGTAGCCATACTTATATCAGACAAACTAGACTTTAAATTAAAGGCTGTAACAAGAGATGAAGAAGGGCATTATATAATAATCACAGGGTCTATCCATCAGGAAGAGCTAACAATTATAAATGTCTATGCACTGAATATGGGAGCCCCCAAATATATAAAACAATTACAAACATAAGCAACCTTATTGATAAGAATGTGGTAATTGCAGGGGACTTTAATGCTCCACTTACAGAAATGGATAGATCATCTAGACACACGGTCAATACAGAAACAAGGGCCCTGAATGATACACTGGATCAGATGGACTTGACAGATATATTTAGAACTCTGCATCCCAAAGCAACAGAATATACTTTCTTCTCGAGTGCACATGGAACCTTCTCCAAGATAGGTCACATACTGGGTCACAAAAGAGTCCTTATAAGTATACAAGAATTGAAATCATACCATGCATACTTTCAGACCACAATGCTATGAAGCTTGAAATCAACCACAGGAAAAAGTCTGGAAAACCTCCAAAAGCATGGAGGTTAAAGAACACCCTACTAGAGAATGAATGGGTCAACCAGGCAATTAGAGAAGAAATTAAGAAATATATGGAAACAAATGAAAATGAAAATACAACAATCCAAACACTTTGGGGTGCAGTGAAGGCAGTCCTGAGAGGAAAATACATTGCAATCCAGGCCTATTTCAAGAAACAAGAAAAATCCCAAATACAAAATCTAACAGCACACCTAAAGGAAATAGAACCGAACAGCAAAGACACCCCAAACCCAGCAGCAGAAGAGAAATAATAAAGATCAGAGCAGAAATAAACAATATAGAATCTAAAAAAACTGTAGAGCAGATCAACGAAACCAAGAGTTGGGTTTTTGAAAAAATAAACAAAATTGATAAACCTCTAGCCAAGCTTCTCAAAAAGAAAAGGGAGATGACCCAAATAGATAAAATCATGAATGAAAATGGAATTATTACAACCAATCCCTCAGAAATACAAGCAATTGTTAGGGAATACTATGAAAATTTATATGCCAAAAAACTGGGCAACCTGGAAGAAATGGACAAATTCTTAAACACCCACACGCTTCCAAAACTCAATCAGGAGGAAATAGAAAGCTTGAACAGACCCATAACCAGCGAAGAAATTGAATCAGTCATCAAAAATCTCCCAACAAATAAGAGTCCAGGACCAGATGGCTTCCCAGGGGAGTTCTACCAGACGTTTAAAGCAGAGAAAACACCTATCCTTCTCAAGCTGTTCCAAAAAATAGAAAGGGAAGGAAAACTTCCAGACTCGTTCTATGAAGCCAGTATTACTTTGATTCCTAAACCAGACAGAGACCCATTAAAAAAAGGCCAATATCCCTGATGAATATGGATGCACAAATTCTCAATAAGATACTAGCAAATCGAATTCAACGGCATATAAAAAGAATTATTCACCATGCTCAAGTGGGATTCATTCCTGGGCTGCAGGGCTGGTTCAACATTCACAAATCAATCAACATGACACATCACATTAATAAAAGAAAAGATAACCATATGATCCTCTCAATCGATGCAGAAACGGCATTTGACAAAATTCAGCAACTTTCTTAATAAAAACCCTCGAGAAAGTCGGGATAGAAGGAACATACTTAAACATCATAAAACACATTTATGAAAAGCTCACAGCTAACATCATCCTCAATGGGGAAAAACTGAGAGCTTTTTCCCTGAGATCAGGAACATGACAGGGAGGTCCACTCTCACTGCTGTTGTTTAACATAGTGTTGGAAGTTCTAGCATCAGCAATCAGACAACAAAAGGAAATCAAAGGCATCAAAATAGGCAAAGATGAAGTCAAGTTTTCGCTATTTGCAGATGACATGATACTCTACATGGAAAATCTGATAGACTCCACCAGAAGTCTGCTAGAACTGATACATGAATTCAGCAAAGTTGCAGGATACAAAATCAATGTACAGAAATCAGTTGCATTCTTATACACTAACAATGAAGGAACAGAAAGACAAATAAAGAAACTGATCCCATCCACAGTTGCACCAAGAAGCATAAAATACCTAGGGATAAATCTAACCAAAGATGTAAAAGATCTGTATGCTGAAAACTATAGAAAGCTTATGAAGGAAATTGAAGAAGATATAAAGAAATGGAAAAACATTCCGTGCTCATGGATTGGAAGAATAAATATTGTCAAAATGTCAATCCTACCCAAAGCTATCTACACATTCAATGCAATCCCAATCAAAATGGCACCAGCATTCTTCTCAAAACTAGAACAAGCAATCCTAAAATTCATATGGAACCACAAAAGGCACCGAATAGCCACAGTAATTTTGAGGAAGAAGACCAAAGCAGGAGGCATCACAATCCCAGACTTTAGCCTCTACTACAAAGCTGTCATCATCAAGACAGCATGGTATTGGCACAAAAACAGACACATAGACCAATGGAATAGAATAGAAACCCCAGAACTAGACCCACAAACGTATGGCCAGCTAATCTTTGACAAAGCAGGAAAGAACATCCAATGGAAAAAAGACAGTCTCTTTAACAAATGGTGCTGGGAGAACTGAACAGCAACATGCAGAAGATTGAAACTAGACCACTTTCTCACACCATTCACAAAAATAAACTCAACATGGATAAAGGACCTGAATATGAGACAGGAAACCATCAAAACCCTAGAGGAGAAAGCAGGAAAAAACCTCTCTGACCTCAACTGTAGCAATTTCTTACTTGACACATCCCCAAAGGCAAGGGAATTAAAAGCAAAAATGAACTACTTGGACCTTATGAAGATAAAAAGCTTCTGCACAACAAAGGAAACAACCAACAAAACTAAAAGGCAACCAATGGAATGGGAAAAGATATTTGCAGATCACATATCGGACAAAGGGCTATTATCCAAAATCTATAAAGAGCTCACCAAACTCCACACCCAAAAAACAAATAACCCAGTGAAGAAATGGGCAGAAAACAGGAATCGACACTTCTCTAAAGAAGACATCCGGATGGCCAACAGGCACATGAAAAGATGCTCAACATCCCTCCTTATCAGGGAAATACAAATCAAAACCACACTCAGATACCACCTCACGTCAGTCAGAATGGCCAAAATGAACAAATCAGGAGACTATAGATGCCGGAGAGGATGTGGAGAAACGGGAACTCTCTTGCACAGTTGGTGGGAATGCAAACTAGTGCAGCCACTCTGGAAAACAGTGTGGAGGTTCCTCAAAAAATTAAAAATAGACCTACCCTATGACCCAGCAATAGCACTGCTAGGAATTTACCCAAGGGATACAGGAGTACTGATGCATAGGGGCACTTGTACCCCAATGTTTATAGCAGCACTTTCAACAATAGCCAAATTATGGAAAGAGCCTAATGTCCATCAACTGATGAATGGATAAAGAAATTGTGGTTTATATACACAATGGAGTACTACGTGGCAATGAGAAAGAATGAACTATGGCCCTATGTAGCAACATGGATGGAACTGGAGAGTGTTACGCTAAGTGAAATAAGCCATACAGAGAAAGACAGATACCATATGTTTTCACTCTTATGTGGATCCTGAGAAACTTAACAGAAACCTATGGGGGAGGGGAAGGGGAAAAAAAAAAAAAGAGGTTAGAGTGGGAGAGAGCCAAAGCATAAGAGATTGTTAAAAACTGAGAACAAACTGAGGGTTGATGGGGGGTGGGAGGGAGGGGAGGGTGGGTGATGGGTATTGAGGAGGGCACCTTTTGGGATGAGGACTGGGTGTTGTATGGAAACCAATTTGACAATAAATTTCATATATTGAAAAAAAAATTTGAAGAGAGTGTTCTGCAGCTTAAAAGAAAATAAAAAACAAACTTGAAAGCTGACGGTTTATTCCTGTGCTCCTCCTTGTGGAATTCTCCCTTCTGAGATCTGGCCTGCCAGGCACTGGCTTCTAACCCACACTGTCACTTTCTCTCCGCAGCTGCCTCTGCTGTCCCTGTCGCTGCACTGTTTCCCACTAGCTCACAGTCTCTCACCTCTGTGCCATGTCGTCCTTAGATTTCCTCAAAACCTTCATGGAACATTTTGGAGCTTACTTTTTGACATAATGTTACTAAAAAAACCTTTTTTTTTTTATAGTATGCCTGTAATTATCTGTTTATCAGTAAGAATGGTACTAGGCACGATCACCCTCAGGTATGTGGGACGTTTACATCCCTAGGTAGCCTTCATAAAGAATGAATTTGAGGGGTGCCTGGGTGGCTCAGTTGGTTAGGAATCTGACTTACTCTCAGGTCATGATCTCACAGTTTGTGAGTTTGAGCCCCGAACTCTCTCTCTCTGGCCCTCCCCTGCTTGTTGTCTCTCTCTCAAAATAAATAAATAAACTTAAAAAAAAATAAAAAGAATCAAGTTGAATATTTTTTCCTCTGCTTATCTTTGTACAGTGAGCACTATTTTTTTTAATGTTTATTTATTTTTGAGAGAGAGACAGAAAGTGAGTGGGGGAAGGGGCAGAGAGAGAGGGAGACACAGAATCTGAAGCAGGCTCCAGGCTCCCAGCTGTCAGCACAGAGCCCGAAGCGGGGCTTGAATTCACAAACCGTGAGATCATGACCTGAGCCAGTCAGACACTTAACTGACTGAGCCACCCAGGTGCCCAAGTGAAAAAGTACTATCTGGTCTTCTGGTAGACAGACATACAGCTTATTTCCTGCTAGTGTTTTGTTTTTCTCTCCTTCATCAAATAACATTCATGAAGTTGTCATAGAAAGTAAATTAAACACATGCCTGAACATTAATAATTTGCCATGGCAAAGCTAGCTTGATTTTTAAGAAGTTAATGTCACACTTCACTGACATCATGTGAAACAGGTAAATTCTACTTACCTGCCACCACCTCTCATTTATCCTTGGAAGTGTAGGAAAGGAATGGCCTGAGTAAATTACACCTATAAGTAATCCAGATATCCTGCTTTCATCCATACAACTGTCCTTACCAGCCCTGAAACCTTTTCCAGGACCTGCTAATAGTGCACAACAAAATGAATGTCTGAACACACCTGAAACTGTTCAGCCTCTGAAATTGCTGTTAATGAGCCTGGAAAAGAACAAAAGGCTGAAAGGAAATCAATCAAAGGGCAACAAATAAGGAAATCAGTCCAAAACAAATGGGAGTTGATTCTTCTTTTTTCTATCAAAGTAACATTGTGTATGTTATTACTGCTCTCTTCACCTGGAAAATCTCTGATGCTGTTCAGTGTACATAACAATGAACAGTGAGTGATAAATATATAATAACTCTTATTTCTTACTGTTTATATTCCCTCCTATACTGAGACCCTCTCGTGGCACTAGGGCCACAAAGCTAGGCAAAGTATGAGAGCATCTCCTGAGATGCTTTTTCTAGTAGAAGGGAAGAGAATCTAGGCAGAAGTATTCAAACATTTCATTCTTTTTTTTTTTCTGCATCATACAGTGTTCATTTTAAAATTATTTCCAGCTAAGGTTCTATTCAAGACTTTATAGTTTATATTCCAGAACCAGACATACAGAAATCTACAGACAAGTTGGCCTATAATTAACAATAATAGAACCAGGGCCATTTCAGGCAGGTGAAAATAAAGATCTGTTTTTACCTATTTGTGATATTCTTTATCACTGCTTTCTAGATATAAATTGAATTTTGTGTTTATACTTCTTTTTGATGTCCCTTGAAGTCATAGGAAGCAGTACCCAACATATATGGGGAAATTTAAATTAGTTTCTAATTGGCATGTCAAAATTTTTGGTTTAAAGCAATATTTTAATTTAAGCAAAAAGTATGATCTTCATGACTATTTCCTTTGTTCTACTGCAGTTGGCAAAACTATTTGAATTCAGCCAAATATTTATGTCTAGTTTTAATAAAACACCCGACTAAGCTTACAAAATAGACAAATTAGTCAGAAACTATTCGTACAGAGAAAGGTGTAGGTTATAAAGAACAAAGGAACGTAGCGTCATGAGAAATGAATGCAAATCCTGGGAAGCAATATGGATGCCTCAGCAACCAATGACTGCCTTTCATAATTCATCAATGAATCTGAAACTTAGCTTTCAGTTTTTCATAAATATACATTTATAGTAACATGCTTCAATAGCTTTAAAGTACAATGTAACATTAACATAAATTACTGATAAAATACAATAAAGAACGTCTGTGTTGCACATTTAAATCACTTTAAAGAACTCTGTCAGTATCTACATACTGTACTGATTTCTATATAAAATGAGGAACATATTAGAATTAAACTGCTACCTTGTTTCCATTTTTCCTAGAAGGATTTAATAATGTACATATATTTTTACTTCCAACTTAGTAACTTCAGTGAGTCATGTCTGAATATTTATTTTCTACATGATGGACTCTGCTTCTGTAATGTCATGATTGGATATCCTTAGGGTCTGTTGATGATTATAGAATATTTATGATGTTTAGGATCAACAATTTCAAATGATACTTTATGTTGAAATACGATACTTCTTGAATATGATTATTTTACTTCAAGTCTAATTTTAGTTCCAGAGAAGGCAGTGCTGTCTTAAAGGCTCGGATAAGGTTTTCTTTTTTTCTTACTCCAGGAAGATCACCTAACAATAAATATTTCAGGTTTCTTGAGTGATATAAAGCAATGATGCCTTTGTCTGTGACATTCCCACATGAAATTATTTCCATTTCCAATACGCTCTTTTGTAAATTTTCAAGTTTACCAAGTTTCTCCAAATAGTCATCCTTGATATAATGACACTTGCGTAGCCTTATTTTTTCAACATGGTGTAGGCCCTCCATGTAATCAAATCCAATGCTCATGATACAAGAGTCAGTGGCATCAATTGCCTGAATCTTGTACTTGTCCAGAGGTCCTGTGGGGAGGCGGTTGTAGTCCTTCTGCCGCCTCTCCTGGCCGTGGTAGCGCACCATGGCCCCACAGTGCAGCAGCCGCTCCGATGCTGCCCTATCGGGTCCCACATCCCTGATGCGTTTATAATCCACTTTATGAAACACTGCATTCAACCAGCCCCAGAAGTATCTGCAGTCACATGACCATGGGAGTTTCTTTAAGCCACACAACTGCTGGGAAATTTTTCCAAACAGCATCATTTGATGGCATTGGAGGAAGGGCAGACATTTCATTCTTTTTCTCAGGTTTACAGTAATAGCATATTCCTTTCAACATTAAGTAAATTAAGCAATAAATACAAAACAGCCCTCATTCTTCAGCAGAAAATAACAATATATTGATAGTATTTGATGACATTTGATAGTACTGACAGTGATAGTTTTTTGATAGTGATTGATATTGATAGTGATTTTTGGACACACTGTTGGGGCTAGAATAAATTGGTGTCCCATCTGTTTTGTGCATTTTAAGAGTAAATGTTCCCTTTCTTTTTTTTAATATTTTAATGTATATTTACTTTTTGAGGGAGAGAGAGACAGAGCATGAGCAGGGGAGGGGCAGAGAGAGAGAGAGGGAGACACAGAATGTGAAACAGGCTCCAGGCTCTGAGCGGTCAGCACAGAGCCCGACGCGGGGCTCGAACTCAGGAACCATGGGATTGTGGCCTGAGCTGAAGTCAGAGGCTTAACCGACTGAGCCACCCAGGCACCCCTAAGATAAAAATAATCTTAATCAAACTTTTGTTAAGGCTCTAAACCTAAGATCAACAATCCTAGGATAAGATTGCTGAAACATAGAAAGTACCTTAAATTCATCCCTACTGGGTGAGAAGATGGGACACACTGATGGAATGAATGGATCTGACTTTAGGAGCATTTAAAACCACTCTGTTTCATGAGCAGATGGAAAAGTTGAATTGCATGGTCTTTCTAGCTGTGGAATTCTATGACACATTTGCCTTATTAAAAGGGAGTGGGATGGACATTCATTTCTTTGACTTGCAAGTAATGTTATATTAAAAGTAGCAGCAAGATTCAGTATAAAGGTTCAGGCCTTGATATATCTTATAAGTGCTAAGCCTCAGTTTCTCATCTGGAAGATGTCAGGTGGGGAGCTGGTTGACCCAGATTCCAGCTGTGCCCTGAGGCTGTGGAGTCTGTGGAGGTACCCTAGGAACCTAAAGGGTGAGCGAGGGCAGAGATCAGCTGAGTTCTGGACTCCCTGCCCCACTGCACCAGCCAGAGCAATGCTACTTTTATATAGTGGGTTTTATATAGTGGGTGTCCCATAGATTTCGTGTGAAGAAAGGATGCTGTGGCTTTATACAGTTGGCTTTATCCCTGAGCTAGACTGTCTGAAAGCTGTATTGAACCCTAAACTCCCAAGAGTCTGTGCTAGATAAATGGAAGATGTAAGTTCAACTTAGTGTCATTCTCTCTGCGTCACTCTGAGTTGGAGGCGCTATGGGGCTCTCCCAGATTTGTAAGATCCTGTTTCTGTGGATGGTGGAAACCATGGGCCCCATTATTTACATTAGGATGATGTTCACCATCATTTAAACGTAATTTTTCCCTTGAAATGTATCTGAGTTAGATCATTCTAATCTTCTTTCCTAAATATTTAATTTTAATGAACTCATAGGTGGAAGGCCTTATTAAATACTCTAATTTTAAACTATTTCTTAAATGCATTTATTTTAATTCACTTAATTCTAACTCATTTATCCACATCAAATGACCATATTCTTTTTATTGATCATTACAGCAAATCGCTTTCAAAAACCTGGTTCAGAGAAATCGGCAAAATGAACAGCAGAACCAGGGCCCTCCAGCTCTGAACTCCACCATTCAGCTGCCATTTATAATCATCAATACAAGCAGGAAAACAGTCATAGATTGCAGCATCTCCAGTGACAAGTGAGTGGAGAACTAGGGGAAGAGAGTAGGGCCGGCCTCCTGGTAATGTATTCCCATCATTTGCAACATAAAGAAGGGTGTACTTCCTCATGTGAGGCCTCCAAGGCTGACGTCCTGGGGCAGGAGAAACACCTTTGCAGACATGGAGCATTCTTCCTCACTCACTCTCTGCAGCCCTTTCGTGTGCCTGGCACCGTTCTGCCCATGCTAGATACATAATAGAGCCTGGAGCCCAGGCAAGATGCGCACATATGTACGCTTATGTGCTAACTCTGGGCAAGTAACTGCCTGAAAGTAGACCATGCGTGAGGGCCTGGGACAAGGTAAGGTCACTGGTGATTCACTTTCCTCATTTATTGTAGAAATACTATACATGAGCGTGCGGCATTAAAGCAATTGTTTCTTTGTTTTGCTGTACCGTAGTTGAGTGTGCTTCTGTTTATTAATTAATGGACATGAAAATGCTAGATGCATTCTCTGCTTTCTTTTTTTCTTATTTATTTTATAACTAGAAGTTTATACCTTTTGACCACCTTCAGCTATTTCACACACTTCCCACCCTCGCCTCTGGCAACCACCAATCTGTTCTCTGCATCTATGAGTTCATTTTTATTTTTTAGATTCCATACATAAGTGAAATCATACAGTATCAGTCATTCTACATAAGTGAAATCATACAGTATCAGTCTTTCTACATAAGTGAAATCATACAGTATCAGTCTTTCTCTGTCTGACTTACTTCAGTCAGCATAATGCCTCAAGGTCCATCCACATTGTTGCAAATGGTAGAATTTCCTTCTTTTTTATGGCCAAATATTCCATGTATACACCCCCACACCGCACGCACCACATTTTCTCTATCTATTCGTATGTCAGTGGACAGTCAGGTTGTCTGTGTCTCTTGGCTATTGTAAATAATTCTGCAGTGAACATGGGGGTGCAGATGTCTTTGTGAAAAAGTGATTTTATTTCCTTCAGATATATACCCAGAAGTGGAATTGCTGGATCATATGGTAGTTCTATTTGTAATGTTTTTACATTTTAACTAAGATTGATGATACTTATCATAGCAAGTGAGAAGTAGCAGTTTTAGAAAGTACTGCTAAGAATTAGTTTGTAATTTATTTTACCCTTCATGAAAAAGTAGTGGACTTTAGGCTGCAACTGGGGTCCTGAGATAGTGAAGGGAATAGGGTGTAGAGGGAGATAGATCCAAGTGTGGCTTGTGGCTCCCCCCCACTTAGCTGCTTCCGAGCAGTTTTCTGAAGAACTAAAGGGGATGATTCCAAGGCCTCTATCACATAATGGCCTTGTTGTGAGGATTAAATAAGATGGTGTCTATAAAGGATCTGACCCAAGGCAAGCCCTTTATAAATATTTGCTGCTGTTACAAGGAGTCAGTATGTAACTTATTGACCAAATTGGGATTCATTTGAAAGCGAAAGAGGGCTCAGTAATTACATCAGTACCAGGGGCATGGCCCAAAACTGTCCACGGAGACCGGGACCTCTGGTCTCCTCTGAGCTACAACATTGCCCTTGGGCTTGGCCTTGTCTTTACCACTCTTTTCTAGGGCAGTGTTGCTTCCCTATTTATCTTGATGGCGTACAGAGATTCTAGGTCACTTAAATAAGAAGGTGCCAAAAAGAAAAAGAAGAAAAACAGTGAGCAGGGATTTCAAAAGTATTTGATAGTTAAGACCCTAGACCCCATTAGAAATAGGGACCCAGTAGGCTATGAAGTCAGAATCTCCATTTTTCAGTCTTTCCTCTAGCTACAGTTTTTTAAACTCTCTGAGATCTGGTGCTTCTTCCACAAAAGTAAGAATTACAGTATTTAACTTGCAGATTTTCAAAAGTTGTAGATAAAGTCTTAAAGGACCTAGCCCACTGCTCAGTAAATGGTGCATGACGGTGTTATTCACACACTTGTAAATCTTCACAAAAACCTACATCTAAAGGGACTGTGTTAACATATTCTCATAAAACTGAGAATCCTAGAGAATGTTTAACATATTTTTAGGAGAAACACACTTAGAATTCTACTTCCTCTCTCCAGTTACCTCTTGTTTTGTGAGGGATTATTAAATTATCTTCATCATTTAGTCTTCTAAGTCTAAAAAGGGTAGCAGGAATATCTGGGAACCATTGGTCTCAGGGAATTATAGATTCTGTTCACCCCAGGCTAGGGCCTGGTAAGATTTCCATCCGTGGGTGGTTACTGACTCCTGCCTTTGCCCGGCCCTTCCCTGAGTAAGGGGAAGAGGCTCTGAGCTGCTTGTAGAAACTTGTTATTCAAGGTAGGTCCCTAAAGCCTTGTCTTTCAGTTACTTTGATGATGCAGTCTTTCCCCCTTAATTAGCCTGGAGGCTTTTTCATGTAGGGGATTAAATTTACAAAGCCATCTGTTTTTAACGTATGCCAAGGGTCATCCCTATGACAGGCACACACTTAAGATTTTGTTTTGTGGTTTTTTTTAATGAAAATTTGTTAATGTCCTTTATTCAGCTTTATATTTTTCAGATTATTTAAACATGGCATTTTACTTTCAATTGTATTTTTTGCCCTGATCTAAAATCTAGCATAAATAATTTTTACCTTCATATGATTTTAATTAAGAATTTTATGACAGCATAAACCCACCATTGTCCCAAAACATTTCATCTGCACTGTGTCCCTGTAGGGTTGAGGCCTGTAGGTGAAGGTGCCCTTGGGCCAAGCCCAGGAGTCAAAAGGACCGTGTTCTCCTACATTAACCTTTTTTTTTTTTTTTTTAAGCATGTATCAGGTAGCCGGGCATCCTGATTTGGTAATTTTCAAGAACATTTGGGAAAATGTGCTATATATTTATGTGGTACTTTTTCCTTAAGATATTTCACTTCTTAGGCTCTTAAGACAGGATTTGAGTTTTGGTTCGTTTGTTAAAAGTCTTCCATTTATTACTTGTCTAAAGTATGGTACAGCTAACACTTGATTCATGAACATGAAGTAAGCATTCAAATTGGTTTTCTTTCTCAAACGTAATATAGGCCAATTCATAGTAGGGATGTCTTATATTAAACTGGAAAGGCTTTCTTACTATTTTACCTTTTTGAAAAAGCTGAAGGCCACTTTGAATAGTGCTAGATTTAGACCAAAGTTTCTGACCCCTGTTTGCAGCAGCTTAATGAGGGCTGAAGTTTATGGACTCCTATTGTCTATCATAAGGAAGTTGTTTTAATTGGGCAAGTGGCGTATTTGAGATGTCATTCCCCTGAACACAGCAGAATGACTCTTACTGCTCTGAACGATAAGTTTCGAGTACTGAGGATGAATTTAGGCCCTCATTCTTTTATATAATGTACAGAGTACAGCACTGTGCAGATGTCCTCTATACCACTGAAACACATTCTAACTTTGTTTTCTGATGCAGGTTTGAATATCTTTTTAATTTTGACAACACCTTTGAGATCCATGATGACATAGAAGTACTGAAGCGGATGGGAATGTCCTTTGGCCTAGAGTCAGGCAAATGCTCTCTAGAGGATCTGAAACTTGCTAAATCACTGGTGCCGAAGGCGTTAGAAGGTTATATCACAGGTATGTTAATTAACACTTTCACACGTTGTCCCTGATTAAATGCCAAACCCCAACCTGTTAAAACCTTCCTCATAGAAAATTGAAGTCCATTCTGTGTCCTTCCCTGCCCCTTTAAATGTAACCATTCTCTTAAATTTCTTTTTTATCATCACTTGCTTTTTTTAGAGATACAAACATATAATAAATTGGAAACAATTTATTGTTCAGTTTTACCTGTTTCTCCCCTTTATGTAAATGGGATCATAGTGATGCATTCTTTAGAGATAGGGGTTTTTTCCACTCCACATCATGTTCTTTTCATCCATCCACATGATTTCATGTAGCTGTAATTCATAGATTTTTACTGGTCTGTAGAATTCTATTCTATGACTATACCGTGATTGATTTGTTCATTTTACTGGTGATAAGCCTTTAGTTTTGTTTCCAATTTGTTGGTGTTCCGAAGCAGTGCTGCTTTGAACCTTCCTCTAGTGATAACCTAGTGCACGCATACCCGCGTGTAGCGTCCGATTGCTGGGTCAGAGGCACCTGCAGCTTCAGCTGTACCAGATGATGCCAGAGCCTTATTAGCTTGATTTCACAAGTTACGTTCTCACCTACAGGATGGAAGTGTTCTGATTTCCCAATCAGGTGGATATGAAATGGTATCCTAATTTTTTTTTAATTGAGGCTTAATTCACCTACCATAAAATTCACCATTCGATGGTACGTGCAGTTCAGTGGTATTTCGTATATTCACAAGGTTGTGTAGTCATCACTAATTCTGAAACATTTTTGTCACTTCAGAAGGAAACCCCACACACATTAGCACACTCCCCACTCCTCCCAGCCCTAGCAACCACTAATCTACTTTGTCACTACAGATTTGTCCATTCTGGATATTTCATATAGATGGGCTCATAAATATGTAGGCTTTGTGATGGACTTCTTTGACATAGTATTATGTTTTGAAAGTTCATCCATGCTGTAGCATGTGTTAGTACTTCACCCCCCTTTTATTGCCATTCTATGAATAAAAGCATGTTTCATTTATCCATTCACTAGTTGGTAGACATTTGGATTGTTCCCACCTTGGGGCTGTTATGAATGATGCTGCTATAAACATTCTTGTACAAGTTTTTGTGTGATCATAAATTTTCACTTCTGTTGGTTGTATACCTAGGAGTGGAATTGCTGGGTCATATGGGTCATATGGTAACTCTATATTTAACATTTTGAGTTACTGCCAAACTATTTTCCAAAAGCAGTTGTACCATTTTATAAGCCTACCAGCAGTGTGTGAGGGTTCCATGTTGCCCATATACTTTTCATTTAGATGTTATTGTCCATCTTTTTTATTATAGCTATCCTTGTAGACAAAAGGTAGTATTTTACTGTGGGTTTATTTTGCATTTTCCTGATTACTAATGGTGTTGAGCATCTTTTTTGTGTGCTTATTGGCCCTTTGTGTATCTTCCTTGCAGAAGTATCTATTCAGATCTTTTGCCCATTTTTGCATCAGGTTTTTTTTTTATTATTATTATGAGCTTTAAGAGTGCTGAATAGGGGCACCTGGGTGGCTCAGTCAGTTGAGCATCCGACTTCGACTCAGGTCATGATCTCATGGTTCATGTGTTTGAGCTCTGCGTCGGTCTCTGTGCTGACAGCTCAGAGCCTGGAGCCTCCTTCGGATTCTGTCTCTCCATCTCTCTCTGCCCCTCCTGTGCTCATGCTCCGTCTCTCTCTCCCTCAAAAAATAAATAAACATTAAAAAAATAATAATAAAAAGAGTGTACCGAGTATACTAGAAAACAAAAACGGTATGTTTTGCGTGTTCTATAATTCATATTTTTTTCACTGAATCAGAAATCTTTATGATTGTCGTAATTCTTAAGACTGTGGTATATTCTGCACATATAATTCGGATGCATAAACAATGCTTTCTGCCTTTGCTTTTTGCTAGTTTCCTTCAGTATTACCACCTAGAATGTCACATCACTTTCTGAAAGCATTGTAATATTAGCTCTAAGGTATATTAAATCAAATATAAGCAAAGAGGTAGTTCTTATTTTTTTTAAAGAGTTTATTTTTAAGTAATCTCTATACCCAGTGTGGGCCTCGAACTCACAACTCCAAGATCGAGAATTGCATGATCTACCACCTGAGCCAGACAGGTGCCCATCATTCTTATTTTGTTTTATGGTTTTGGCCCTTTGGTCAAAACACAAGAGTTTGTTGATTGAGATTTGGCTTCTGTTGGATTTGGTTCTTAAAACTGGCACCATCCACCTGCTGCAAGTGTGATCCCTTCTTTTGCCCCTCAGTCAACTCGCTCCATATCTTCACCCCCCCCCTAGCCACTTTCCCCCCCCCCCCCCCCCCCCCACCCCAGAGTAGGCCCTGCTGTTTTATTAGCAGCCCAGTCATACTGGCAGTCCAGCAGGGTCTGAAGAAAGGGCTTACTCAATAAATCACCAGAACTTTATTTTAACTTATTCTCAGTGAAAAGGCACAGGGCAATTAGGCGGGCTCTGTGGTTTTGATCTCTTTGTGACCTCATTTGCAGACTGGGATGTAGACTTTCTGGTTACTTTAAAAGAAGAAATGTGTGCCTTTAGTGTGCAAAGGGACGGAATGGCTCTTGAGTAAGATTGTGAGAACTATTGTGTGGATCTTATGATAATGTGAAAGAAATGTAGGCTTTTCAAAGCCATTGTGAAAAAGAAAAATTTAATGTGGTATGCACTTGGAAACAAGTAAATAGCTGTCTTCTGACACAAAGTTTCCATATATACTAATTAATATTCACCACAGGATTCTGGCTTTAATTTCATCTTGCACAGGCTTGTTCTTATTTAATATATTTAAAGTCTGCTATTCCTCTTAGAATTGAATTTTTTTTTTCCCACAGCTGCCTTAGCCTCTAAAGAAAAGGTTCACACAGCCATTCTAAAATTAATCATTCAGTATCCTTTTTTCCTACATAGGAAGCCTCTCACTTGGTCAGACAGTACAAGGATAGCAGGGTTCCTAATCCCAGTCCATAGAGTAGTGGGGGCTTTTTTGTTTTGCTTTGTTGTTGTTTTTGCACAGTAATTAATTACCAAACAATTTCAATTAACCCTAATAAACGTTCATTACTAGGTTATACTTTCTGAGTATACATTCAGTCTTATTTTGTAATGTCATGTAAGTCAAAGAATTTCTTTTTAGGAATACATTTTTTATCATTTCTTCCACCTCTTTTGTAAACTTACTGTTGGAAGAGACTATACTCATGTCATGCCTTCAGTAACATTTAGATCTTACATGTTCCAGTCACTGCCTTCTTTGAGCTAATGTTCTGGATAATGTGACAAGTATTAAATAAAATTACAATAAGAATTTATCAGGGCGCCTGGGTGGCACAGTCGGTTAAGCGTCCGACTTCAGCCAGGTCACAATCTCGCGGTCTGTGAGTTCGAGCCCCGCGTCAGGCTCTGGGCTGATGGCTCAGAGCTTGGAGCGTGTTTCCGATTCTGTGTCTCCCTCTCTCTCTGCCCCTCCCCCGTTCATGCTCTGTCTCTCTCTGTCCCAAAAATAAACGTTGAAAAAAAAAATTAAAAAAAAAAAAAAAAAGAATTTATCAGGGTTGTGATTGGAGAAATATGGTATATGCACAGAAAATAAGATTGCAAGGATATACTTTTCTGCAGACTAAAACAGTAATGCCTGTCTCACCCCTGTTAAAAATGTGACTGCGTAACATAAGGGCTTTTAACGCAGGGCTGGTTTGGGCCACCTGGGTTGCTCAGTCAGTTGAGTGTCTGACTCTTGATTTCATCTCAGGTCATTATCTCGTGGTTGATGAGACTGAGCCACGTGTCAGGCTCCACACTGAGCCTGGAGCCTACTTGGGATTCTCTCTCTCTTTGCCCCTCCCCTGCTCACACACTCTCTCGCTCTCTCTCAAAATAAATAAATAAATGTTAAAAAAATAAAATAAGGCTTGTTTGAGTTATAAAGCCAAGGATACCAGGATAAAGAATGGATCGTTGATGAGTAATAGCCCTGAGTTCACTCAGGGACATGTGAAAAGATGGTACAGTGGGGGTTTTAGCAAACATGTATGTGTCTGTCCTTCTTTACCTGTTTCTGATTTGACTTTCTTTTACCCACTCCTGGCTTGACTTTTAACACCAGAGTCTTTGGTGGTGAGGCCAGTAGGTGTCCGGGAATAGTTCAGCAATCACTGTACTCTGAGCTACCCTCTCCAGGTGTTATTTAAGAAAAAAGAATGGGTGTCTGTGATTGGTTTAATTTGAATTCTTCCTCACTGTAGCCTGCCTTCCTGTATTTTCTTCCTGTTCTTATGTCCTAGAAATTTCTTTTTTTCCACTCTAAAGAAACCTGGGTTCTCCCCGGGGCAGGAGACTTACCTAGCTGCGATTTAAATCAGGCTCGTCTCCTTACTTGTCTGTGCTTCTTTAAGACTGTAACAGCAGCAGCCACAGAGCTCTCAGCGTGCCTACATCTTCTGTTTTTGTTTTTTCCTGTAGATATCTCCACAGGACCTTCTTGGTTAAATCAGGGACTACTTTTGAACTCTACCCAATCAGTTTCAAATTTAGACCTGACCACTGGTGCCACCTTGTCCCAATCAAGGTACGTATTTTTTTCAGGGTTAGGAAGAGAAGCCACGCGGCCCTGACCCTCCCCGTGGGGGAGAGCAGGTGTCACTGCCGTCCCAGGTCTCGAGCAGCTTTTGGCAGAACTCTCCAGTGGCACCTCCTTTCCCATGTTTTGATTCCTACATTTTACAGTGCTTAAAACATTTGCCACATTAATGAGCTTCTGTGTTTTTAATCATTTGCTAGCGTAAACCAAGGGTTGTGCTTGGATGCTGAAGTGGCCTTAGCAACCGGGCAGTTCCTTGCCCCAAACAGTCACCAGTCCAGCAGTGCGGCCTCTCACTGCTCTGAGTCCCGAGGCGAGACCCCCTGTTCCTTCAACGACGAAGACGAGGAAGATGACGAGGAGGATTCCTCCTCCCCAGAATAAAGCCAGGAGAAAACCCACGTTTTACTAGTTGATGCTCATGTGTGTTTTTAGTGTGAGCTCTTGTTTTTGAAATGATTGCTTCAGTCTTTGCCTTTGTTTGCACTGTGTGTTCAGTGAAAACTAGGGAAACACAATAAGCAAATTCTGTGAAGGCTGAGAGGATTGAGATGAAAAAAGCTAACATAGCGTGAACGAGAACTTTAAACAACAGAGCAATAGATCACACCACAGACAAAGCGGTTTTCTGAGGTGATAGAGGGGACAGTCCCTAAGGAATTGGCAGCATGAATGAAGCTCGTTTATCTTCCACGAGGTGGGGTCTTTGTGTTCCCCCACACCCACGTAACCCTCCTTAGAATCAGGATTGCTGTAATGAACAGTCCTTGACATCATGTTTGTCGTGTTTCTCTTCCTTGCCTGGGCTGCCTTTTACAAGCAGAAATGAACGTGAGAAGATCCCAGTGCAGGTGAGCGGGACAGCGCAGGGCGGAGGTGGCAGTCCTCGTGGTGTGAGGAGCACAGGTTGAACCGCTGAGCCAGCTGAAAGCCTGGTTGATGTGCTTTACGCATCAGCTGCCTTAGACGGCTTCTAGAAAGGAGCAAGCGCTGATTCTTAAGTACTTAAGTGACATGTAGAATAATTTATAGTAAACCTGAAGTGATCATTATTAGCCAATGCATTGGTGCATAGAATTTTTTTAGGGCTACTTCTGGAAGCCAAAATAGAATAGCATTTCCATGTGCATTAAATACTTTGCCAGCACTGCCTTTGCCAGCATTCTAAATCTGGAGTTTTACAGAGAAGGAAATTGTACCTATAGTTTTAATCAAAGCTGTGCATTTCATATAGCTTTTTCATTTAAAACAAAACAGACGGATTCCTGTGATCGAATTGCTTGCTTCTAGTTCCCTGCAGTACTTGTATGATTCCACTCGATATGCAGTTTGTGAACATGAACCAAACGTCATTACTTGTCTTTAAAGTCTGTTTCAAGAATATGAACAGCAGCGTTCTCCTGTACATGTCACCTTTTGTACATTGTAATTCATCAAAATTACCTTATCAGGTTTATTCCTGGCTAAATTGCATTTCACATTAACCCGATAATTCACCGTTTCACAGGGACACCGACAAATGTTGATCACTCCAAACGATTGGATTTATAGCAGTGCGGTATACAGTTTGTTATTTCATAGCCAAAGATGCCGCTGGGCATACTGCACTGGTGTGTTCACAGTTCCTGCCCCTCTGAATATTCAGGGGAGTGAATATTCCGCCAGCATGGCCTAACCTCGATTTAATTTCACACTAAGGCCTTGAGAAGAGCAAATAATAATGGAAAATAACTCGACTCAGCTCATTTGGATATGCCTCTGGATTATGCATCTAACACCTTTGGGCCCAGCACCAAGCCCATCCCAAATCAGTTCTTTTCTAAATCCATGGGGGAAGTACAGATGCCTTCTTAAAGTTCTGCCACTCTGCTTAGAGTGAGCCAGCGGTGAAAGATTTGGCTGACCTAAAATTTTGTTACTAAGGCCATGAAAATTAATACACAAGGACCTGCAGCTTTAACTGAAGTTCCTTGAGACAACACTCATTCTGTCAGAAATAAGCCATAGTGCAAACTCAAGAGGGGTCAAGGGCGCAGAGAGATTGAGGCAGCTTTTAGAGAATTGTGTCTCAGCCTGAGTTCTGGGGCATCTCAGTCTGGGTGGACGGGAGGGGTCCGAAATACTGCAGAGGCTGCAGCAGGTCCCTGAGGGCCTCCAAGATACTTCTGACTTGAAGACCATCAGCTACACGGGCGGGTAAAGCCAAGTTTCCTTCCAAACTGCCGCCTCCTTTACTGACCCTTTAGTACCCGCATCCCTATACTTGAGGGAGCCCTGAGCAAAGGGCCACAGCTAGCTCTTTAGTCTTCAAAATATGGTGTACAGGTCCCAAGACCTGTACATCAGTGTTTGTGATAGGTACACTAATCATTCCTCCACCAAATAGCAAAGTCCTTGCTGGAGTTCTTGGGGTACCACCCCCTTCTCTATTCTCTCTCTCTCTCTGTCTCTGCTGCAGTAGTGTTTCAAACTGATAAAATACAGGTTTGTTTGTTTTTTTAAAGCAACCAAAGACTCTTAACATTATTAGTGTCCCATCGCTGGCTATAAGTGTGTGCTCTTTGGTGGGAGGTGATCTCCGTCCCTCGATAAGGTGTTTCGGTTACCGCGGAGGACATCTGTTGGCACCGCACCGTAGTCTCCAGTACATGTTGGCGTAAAGCCTTGCCTGAGCAGAAAAGTAGGTTGACATGTTTAGAAAGATAACTTCTGTTATTCTTCTGTGTCTCTCATAAACAGATTTTTGAAAAATTCAGCACTTAATCACAATTCCATTTAGAAAGCAAAGTAACAAAATGTTAGGAAATGATTGTTACCATATCCAGGATTCTCTATAGGAGTAGCACTTGGGGGTTGCACGCGCGCGCACACACACACACACGCACGCACTCACACACCCCTCCCGAAGGTGCTGGTTATACTCTACTCTTTGGGGAGTTTAAGAGGCCTTTTCCTCCTCAAGGGTCAGTTCAGCTATTAACCCTTTCAAGTGCATAGTAGCATTCGGTCAGTAAATTCCTGTTTCCTTCCGCACTTGTACAGGGGGCACCAGACCTGCCACATCTGACCCTTATGTGGGAAGGCCACGCTGCCGGAGTCCATGGCAGTGCTGAAGGCACCCGGGTACCTGCCCAAGCCTCCCTTCACCCTACCCACTAAGAATTTGTCTCATCCACTTAATCTTTGCATGTGATGAAAACAGCTTTAGTAAGTGCTGATGTGAATTGTGCCTTATGATCAGAGCGGGTGTCAGGGAGGGGGCAGGAATGGAGGTGCTAACACAGTGATTCCTCACCTCAGTGATGTGCACTGTCCCTGGAAGACTTCACAGATCATGTCCACAGTTTCTGTTTCCTTCAGTTTAATTCTTTATAGATGTACGACATGTCTGCTATCTTACCAGGATGAAAGAGGATAACTCCGCTCATTCGCAAAATTTACAGTTGTAATCATAACCCTGCCATACTGGAAAAATAAAGCCACGGTCAGTCCTCAAATGCAAACGAGCTCCTATCAAAAAATTAAAATGGAGGTATTTCACAAAGACGTGGCCCACTTTAGCCATCTATCACTCGGCTGTTTGCTAAGCCACGACTTTTTTACTTTTTTATTTATGTTTTAATGTTTATTTATTTTGGGGAGACAGAGACAGAGTGCAAGCAGGGGAGGGGCAGAGAGAGAGGGAGACACAGAATCTGAAGCAGGCTCCAGGCTCCGAGCTGTCAGCACAGAGCCCGACGCGGGGCTTGAACGCACTAAGTGCAGGATCATGACCTGGGCTGAATTCAGGGCTTAACCAACTGAGCCACCCAGGTGCCCTTGCCATGACTCTTTTTAAAAGACAACAGTGTTGCTCCAAGTACAGACGTCACTTTGGCCCCGGGGAGTCAGAACACAGCAGCAGTGCCTGTTCCTGGGGGCAGTTACAAAGGAAGGGAGCTGCCAGAGCTATTTCTCTCATAACCACAGTCAGAGAGAAGCCTGTTTAACTTTATCAGGGATTCACTGGAAGGGCCCTTTAAATACCTCTCTGGCTCCCTATCCACAGGCCTATGGAAGAAGGGTCTCTACCCAGCAAATCTGATGTGAACGTTAAGATTGTGCCTCCTTAGCTGGGAGTACTGGGTGGGAGTTGGGACAGTGAGTGGCAAGATTGAATCCTCCAGTAGGTATTTGAGTGAAGACAGAACAGAAAACATTTGAGAATGATTAGTGCTAAGGGAAAATATGACCGGGTAATGAGACAGTGGGGGAAAGGCCACTTTGCCTGGGGGTGGCCAGGGAAGGCCCCCCCTGAGAAAGTGACGTTTGTCCTGAGTCAGACAATTGAAAAGACTGACGTCTCTGTATGTTCTTACCACACAACTCTGTCCCGTAACATGTACTTGGAATCCCTACTGAATTCCAAAGTCACACCATTCCAGGTTGAAGCATACGTTTTGGAGTTTGTTAAGGAATTTTTAAGATTTAAAAGAAAACCAAACTTAGCTACCAGCAGTATCCATAGACCAAGAGAAGATTCTAACTAATCCAGGACGTTCTCATTATTAGCTCCATAGCTGGCAATGGAACCTATACCGTAAAAAAGCAATCATTTCTCTAGGTGTTTTCTTCTAGTTTTTCAAGCTGTTGGATACGCAAAGGTCTTATTTTTATATTAGATACACAAAAGGTAATCTTTTACTCTGCATGTGGATTGGCTTTAGTGGAGCCACAGACTCCCTGAGGATGTTTTCACAAATAGGTTCCCCATTTTCATGACCCAAGGCACTGGTCCCAGGCACTGATGGCCATAAATGTGTATTTGTCAAAGACCCACAGAGTGTGTGTCAGGGGCCTGCACCATGCTGTCTGACCCTCAGAAATGTGCCTCCCTGCCCTCTAAATCACAGTCGATACAGCGTTCAGTTAGTTTAACTTCATTCAAGCCACGCTATTACTCCAAAGGGGAAAGTCTGATGTTTGATTAAGATCTTACCTTTTTAAGAAAAATTCAAACTGAATACCCACATAAATTATAATCTTTCTCAGGAATTAGCCCCTCCAAGGTATCTCTGAAAAGTTACACTCCCATAACCTTTGAGATTCCCCCCCCCCACATCTACATTCACTCCATGCTAAAGAAGAAAAAGTGGGGGGCACAAAACTTTGACCCTCCCATTATGCCTTGGGGACCTCTGACAAGTACAGAAACTTAGATGGCAGCAGGTGTCCATTCGTGATAGGACTAAGACAGCAGAAAGTACCTTCGTTTCTTATGTGCATTCTGTGCAGCTGTTCTCTCAGTCAAGGTGAAATCTTGTATCATTCTCACGCAGCCTTTGCTTTACATAAAGGGCTGTAGAAGTCAATGCTGTCTTCACCCCTTGCTAATGCAGCAGATTGGACTTTGGGCCTCCCAGGTTATAGCTGCATTGGAAGCCAGTGTAGATGAAACAGAGGAGCCGGACTCCCCCATTCTCCACTAAGGGTCTCAGGACGGAAGAGAACATCTCTTCCACCCCACTCATAGAAACAATCTGAGAGCTTGACTTGCCTGACATCCCTCAGCCTATCTGGCAGAGTCTGTACCACAACCCAGAATGTCTTCCTCCGCTGAGGGCCACACGGCCTCCTGGAAACCACACCCTCACCACGGTCCTTCCAAACAGCCTTTGGATTAGCACCAGTCCTCTGTCACACCAAGTGCTAAACAGCTGAGGAGAAGTGGGACTCCACCCACAAGTCCCCAGCATGAGGCCATGGTGTCAGCTTTGGGCCTCTGTCAACTTGGAAGACCCCAGGCTTAGACCTCACGCCTGGGAAGAAATTCATTCCTCACGAGCAAAGACCATCCTGCATGATGGTCATTGGTAGGAGGCTTGAGAGGTTGGGTTATCAGTGGACCCTTGTGTACCACGTTAGCTTGTTTCTGTCCATGTCTCTCAGCATGACCAGGAAACTTCCCCAGATCATGTTTGGGTTTTAAAACCCCTTATCGCTTCAAACTCACCATGTTGGCACTTACCATGCATCATCTTCAGCGTTCCAGGCACCACCTAATAACAAATGGCCTGATTATTTTGCTTGTTCATGACTGAGTTCAAAGGTTTTTTTTTTTGTTGTTGTTGTTGTTTTTTTGTACTAAAATGTAGAGGACCCAGATACTTTTCTGCTAAAAGACTTCTCTGAGCACACTGTAGTTCTCTTTCTCCTCATAGTACCATGGCAGGTTCAGCCTTTCAGTGTCCTGAAAGCAAAACTCGCAACCAGCCAGCTCTGCTGGCTGCTTGGTAGGTAGGCCTGAGCTCTGAGGACCATGGTTCAGCACTGAGTTCCCTGAGGTATCTGGTTTACCACCACCACACCTGACTTTTAGACAAAAAGAGGCTGTGAGCTCAAATCACAAGTTGGTTCAACTTTTCATTTGGAGATGCTTTACTCTGATCATGTGCTGTTGGGTTTTATTTCCAGAAAGTATAGGTCTGCTTTTTTTTCTGCATGAAGGAAACACTGTGGTGCCACGTGCTTTAAGCAGTTTAAACAAGAGAAGGGGAAAATGCAGACACCACATCTGACTTGCCTAATGTAGACTTTATTAGATTGAAGTACCTAACCTAATATGATGTATTATTTTATAGCATCTCAAACTTTGTAAATAAATACCGTTATTTTTATATGGAAATTTTATAGAAGAGCTATTTCTGTATACTTAATTATTCCTGGATTTCCTGAAATTGCTTCCGATAGATAACAGACAGGTCCTAGGCAGTGTTCCTCTAAGGATGGTTCAAGGACCACCTGCAGCAGAATTAATGGGGAGAGTTTTAAGATTTTGCCTCCCTAGGACCCACCCCGGACACTCTGAAGCTCTGGGAGTGGACCCTGGGAAACTGTATTTTTAAAAACTCTGAGTGATGGTTTTTGTCCATTAAAGTGTATCTTTATCCATCCTGTAAGATTTAAAAAAGGAAAGAAAGAAAAAACATCTGAGATGAGTGTAAGTTGTGCTTGAGGAAAAAAAAAAAAAGATGGGTCAGACTATTCTATGATTTGAATGAGATGTACTATAGAAAAAATAAATCATTTAAATGATGTTGGTCTCTTGTTATTAGTGGGCCCATGGGGGGTTAGTGGATATTGTTTGCTGCCCAGCTCCCTTCCTTTAGACCACGACACTCCCTTTCAGCCACCCAGGAAGTGCCCTCAGGAGAGAGCTACCCTTCCCGAAGCTATGCCCACATGCAGCCAGTGAGGGTATTAAAGCCTAGCCTCCTTGCTCCAGTGTCGGATATCTGAAGCACCCTCCCAACTACAGAATTCCTCATGGAACCGGGCAGTTCCTCCAACAACTGCATCATGGTTCAGCTTCCTGCTTCCCCCACTCTGCAGGTGGTGTTTCCAGGAGCACTCTTCAGTACATGGACACCACCTGTCCCACCTGTGATGGAAATATGTCAGATATTTTAAAGGTTTTTCTATGATTGTACATCTTTTTAAGGTCACTTGTGAAGATTGTAGCACAAAGAATAATGTCTTCAAAGTGCCAGAAATCATTGGCCTGAATACATTTGGGGGGGGGGGGGGGGGGG